TCGAACTCGTGACAGGAAAGTGCTTCTAAATCGAACAAATGACGAAGCCACAAGTTTGGTGCGGAGAAATGTCACCAAAGATGACGAAGGAGGATACAGTTGCACAGCTACAAATTCATTGGGAAGTGATAGACATGAGGTGCAAGTAAATGTCATCGGTCAGTTATAATTGCATACGAAGGACTCCATAATCGAAATGGCAATAGACTGACAAATACACAAAATAACGAGTTGATACTTCTCCAACTTACTTTAGTTCAATTATCGGCTATCAAAAAACAAAAAACACAAACCTCCCCTAGAATTAATAAGACCAAAACAAAAGAAAAAAATTGAACACTAACTCAAAACGCTAACATAAATATTGATCATCAATATTTATGTTAGCGTTTGAATTTCTTTTTTTCTTCGTTGAAAAAATCGTGAGTTTTAGTTATTATTACTCAGTGCTAGAACATGTACAGCTCATCTCATGTGTTCAGATTGTTGCTGATCAATTGCTAATGGCACGTGGCGTGCCGTGTTTTCATTAGTCCCCCTCGCAGCCGTTTTTAGTCTCGTCACGCAACGCTCCTCCCCACAAACGGCTGCTCACACGTTGCGTGACGAGACTAAAAACGGCTGCGAGGGAGACTATGTTTTCATCTTAGCACTGCAAAACGCCGAACGCAGTCATTCATGTATTACGTTACAAATTAAGTTATCCTCACTAATTTGATCTCTCTCTCTCTCTCTCTTTATGTGTGTGGATTTTATACACAGATGTCTCTTCGTCAACGATATCAACTCTAAAAGGTATTTAGGGAATTTTATGGCTTAATTTTTTTTCATTTCTTTGTTATTTATATTTTTCGTGTGTTTGATTTTAATAGTTATTGTTCTTTTCTTAATTTTGGGTGCGTCTCTTTTTTCATAGTTTTGATCTGTTTCCGTTCAACTTGATTTCTTTTATCTTTATGTCGGTTTTGATTCACTTTGTTTTCCTTCTTGTGGTTTCTGTTTTTTAGTTGTTTTGTAGATATCTTTTGGCACCTTGGCAAAACAAAATGAAAACCAGAATTATGACTTCAAGTGCACTTTTCGAGTTACGACGAAGAAAAAACAAGACTAATTCTATTCTCTTTCCTTAGTGCTATACTTTGAATTGTGAGACCACTCTGGGAAATTATATTGTAGAGAAGTTTTGGATAAAGAAAAGCGATAGACTTCTTGCCAATGTTAAACTTAATCTAGGTCTAGTTCGCTATTAAGATGATTTATTTTGAATATGTTGTTTTTCTTGATTTATTTCAGACAGGCAAGAATATCAAGAACAGGATTCTTACAAAGTGATCACTTTCGCATTGTTGCCCCTCCTGATTCTTGCTATAGTGTGTTTCATCTATTTAGGGTGCCGCAATAGCTCTCGGCGTTCGAGCCAGGAAAATGCTGCGATTGTAGTATAAATTTCCCAAGCATAATACTAATGCATTTCCTTTTTTTAATTTTATTATTTAAAAAAATAAACAAACTGAACAAAACAAAACAAAACAAAAAGAAAAGTAAAAACAAAGATGCATAAAACGTTGAAGCAAAAAAACGCATAGAAGACATGACATGATTTAAGTCTCTGTATTTGCAGTCAATAACAAAGGAAAAGCCGAATGAAAATCAATTGTATTTATTCCTGTAAATATTGATAAGATGAACATAAGGGTTGACGTCCATAAAAATTATCTTCCCATATATAAAGAAGGGGTTCATTTATGTACTATAAATTTTGGCTGCCATTGTAAACATGTAAGAAACTGGACAACAGAATGGAAACTCGTATTATTTTCATTCCTAGCCTTAATTAATGAATTATTTATTGCACTTTGGAGCGGCAGCTAGTTTTGCACTTCTGTTTAACGTCACCAGCACTTTGTTGTGCGACTAATTTCGATTCAAAATTAGTGATAAACAAATCACTTGAACTGGAAATAGCACTATAGTATTTATACCATATATAGTATTTAAAATATCCCCAAGAAGAGTTTGACTTGGGAGAGCAGCAGTATAATATAATATATTTGTAAAATATCAGAATTTTTATTTTTTATGATTAAAAAAATATTTCTCTAGTAGTGATTCATGGTTATTATGATGGCTTTCAATAAGACTTTCCTGAACGATTTTTGGTGAAAATTCGTGTCAGGAGTTTAAAAGAAGTTATCTTATAACTCAGAACCATATAAACCATAGAAAGCACTTTTCGATCAAGAGTAAGAAAATCGAAACTGAATTAATCGAGTTGGTCACCAAAAGAAGGAAAATCTCTTTAAGACACAAAAAGTACTCAGAATTAAAAAAGCAACCCAGCTAAAGCGCGGGAAAAAGTGAGGAAACGCGCGTGACCGAGTAGCGATTGTTTCTAGCTTGAAATCTTTTTGGTTGAGAAAGTGATACGAGTTTTCTGAATCAATCGCAGAGCGAAGCGAAGATACACCGGTCCAATCCCAGATTACTTTCGACTCTCGAT